TTGGGAGACAGCAGCTGAATTGAAGGGAACTGTGTGTGATATCCAAGCTCAGCGGGGCTCAGGGTTTCTCAGGGCACTCAGAACCAAGGTGCTGAGAGGGCATTCACTGGCTGGCCAGCTTTTCCAGCCCAGTGCGAGACTAGCACTGACTACCTGGCTCATGCTTGTAAAGTCAGAATCTCCAGATGCACAGACAAGCAAGACACCACACTCAAGAGGTGCTCCTAGGGGTGTATCCAAACCACGGAGTCCCGGGTCTCTGGTACTGCCTGCTTGGGGCTTGGGTTTAACTGGCTTTTCAAACTTGACATTAAAGAGGTTTAGAAACCTTTGCTCAACTGCGAGAACAGAGGTACCCACTTTTTGGAACCTGTGAGACTGGAAAGCAGGCAACTACTTTGTCTGCAGGATCAATCAACTGGGGAAAACCCAACCAAGGGGGTGCGGGAGCGGGTCTGCCATGATGTTCTCAATGGAGCCCCATCCTCCCACCTGCTGAGAAGACCCAGCCCCTGGCCGAGACCCACAGCCAGCCCAGTTCCCCTAGCCAGGGAGGGACAGCTGGCTGTGGAGTGTGAATTAGCTACCGATTCCAGCAAATGTCTCCCGAGCCTGTTTCCTCATTTGTACAACGGGCATGATGCCTTCCTCCTCACCAGCTGAGGGTCAAGAGTCAGTGAAATGAGCAGAGACGTGAAAGCACCCAGTGGCCTCTCCCTCTCAGTCAAGGCAGGGCAGAGAGCAGTCTCCACTGGGTGCTATCTCTGCTGATTTCTCAGGAGGGGAAGGAGGGTCAAGGTCAGGTGTTCTGGCTGAGGGGTGCCCAGGCCCCACTGGGGAAGACACTGCGTCCTGGCTCCTTCCACAGGCACAGAGAGGAGGGACCATCCACTCCCCATCCCAGGAGGGGAAAGCATGGGAAATCCGCAGTTGCTCTCTGTGCCTCTCGCTCACTCCTGCCCAGCAGAGGAGGAGTCCTTCCTCAGAGAAGGAGATCCTTGGGACCAGGAGCTAAGCATGCTCCATGCACCATGAGTGTTGGGGGAGGTCACCGAGTGATGTGACTGCCAGCTGACCCCACGACTGGACCTGGACCATGGGAGGCTCCTTCCCCCTCCCCTGGCCTGGGACAGAAGTTCTCCCCACTATTCCCAAAGTGGGAGCCATTTTCAAGGATGTGGCAAGTGGCCTTAGAGAGCAACGTGGTGTTGCGACCATCTGGATGGTATATGTGACCAAACCCTGTTAGGGCGGCTACATAAATTTTAAGATTCTGGCAGCAGGTGTGGAGAGACCTACTTGTTCTATGATGCCCAAGACAGGGCTTGTGAGTCAGTTCCCTTGAGTGTTAACCCTGCCACCTGCCAATCTAGAGAGGCTGCTGCCTTCTCTGCTCGCTCCCTACCCTCTGTTACGACGCCGGTGTGTGAATCAACAAAGTACACTCCTGGCTCCCCCCTTGGTGCTGCCTGCAACTGGCCCCTTCTCCTGGGGAGGGGCTCAGTCTTCTTAATTCTGAGGGGAAGTCTGAGCAAGCCTGTCTGGTCTCAAGTCTGAAGCAGCACCCTCCTTTCAGTACAGAAGCTGGCATTTTATCTCGCTTGACTGTCTCCTGGGCCTTATTTCACGGATCTGAACTTGAGAGGTGGGGAAAAGAGCTATTCAAAGCCTCTCTAAAGCTAAACATTTTCCAAGGTAGGAACAGGCATTCCCACGCTACTTGGGATCTTGAACTCTTTCAAGAAACCAGACATGATAAGGCTTCAGAGATGAACTAAAAATCCGTCTCTCTTGCTCTTGTCTGGGCTCATCACCACTCTGAGTGGCGTTATGTACATCTGCTCTAGGAAACAGATGGATTGGTAGCTAGTTCAATTTGTTGACCAAATACCTTTTAAGTACAGGGTCCAACTTGGGACCGGGGTTCTGGGGGTGAAGAGGGTACCTCTGTGGAGCCCTTGTAGTACTACGAGGTCACTGTTCTAATTCTGGGTTGAGACTCCATTTGCTGGCCTGTCTCCTTCTTTCTGCCTACAGGGAGGACGCTCAGTTGGGGCAGACAGGCCACCGAGCACTTTCTCTCCCTGGCAGAGGTGACTCTTGCCTGCGCACGGAGCTCCCCTCATGCTGCCCCCTTAGAGCTGCCATCTGAGGGCTCCCTACCCCCCTGCCAATGTCTCCATGGAGCGCCCCTGGCTGGCTGCATGGGCAATGGCTCTGCCAGGTGGAGGAACTGCTCTAACAATCTCAACAGCTGCGTCCCTACAGACAGCTAAGTGTCCTTGAACAAACCCCACAGAAATGCGAACTCAAGGCAGGGTCTTCCGAGGTTAGCATGTACAATCGGCTGGCTCGGATGATTTTGCTGGTGATGAGGCCCTGGGCAGGTCCATTCAGGTCCCCGAGCTCTGGCTCTGCCACCATAAAATGCGGCTAATGATCCCTTCCTCAAAGGGCTACGGCAGAGGGGACATGTTTCCAGAGGAGAATGCATACTGTTGGGGCTACATGAGTGGTTTAGGTGATACATGGATGGACACTTAAAACGTATTTTTTGATATGCCTTAGAAAAAACTTTAACTAGTATATCAACCCTATAATTTTACCAATGTCATCACTTAAGACGAGGCTAAAGTACAGATGTCAGGTCTGAGGCTGTTTAAAGGAAAATATCCAACCAAAAAGTGGTACAGATGGCAGGAGAGTGTGGCAAAATTTCTGAAATGGAGCCCAAAAGACTGTTCCGTGAGAAGCATGTCAAGTCCCCGAAACTCAGGCTGCCAGTAGCAGGTGCTCTTGAAACGCTGCCTGTTCCGGTCAGCAGCCCATCACACCCAGGCGCCTGGGGGAGGGCAGCGGACAGCCTCGCTGCGGGCAGAGCTGGAAAGAGTTGAAAGGAAGGGTCTTGGGCTTCCCGGCCCATCCCCCAGCAGCTAATCTGTCAGCTAATGAAGAAGTGGCGGCGGCACAAGTGAGCTAGCAGGCAGTTCACTTACAGCGAACTGATTAGGAATGTTCAACCAACAGCAGACTGTGGACCTTTCCCGAGAAAATAAATAGAGTGTAGACTGTATGCAAATGTGTTTGTCACTTTGACAGCACGTCTCAATTAAGGCATCTCGCGGCTGCGGGTAGGCTCTGCGGCTGCAGCTGCAGGGGAAGGCCCGCTGCATGGCTGAGACCGGGCTTGACCTTAATCCGCATGCATGCATTAAAAGCCCCTGCCTCCCTGCGCACTTGCATAATGCTGGCAGCCACGTGAGGGAAGACAAACGGAGAAAAGCCACTTTCACCCTCCCCAGTTTACAGACCTGTGAGGGCACAGACAGCTCTCATTTCAAGAGTTTGGGGTGGCTTTTTTTAATTGTTTGTCCCCCACCCACGTACACACACTCTTATTCTGCATTTAGCTGGGAATGGCATTAAAGCGTCTCTACTTTTTCCTGAAATGGAAAGGAGGTCTTTCTCCATTTCAAATAGGGCCTCCTTTTTTGTGTTTCGAAAATGGTATGTTTAACACCATGAAATCCCTCTCCCCCGCCCCATCTCCCCGTAATGGGCTCCAAACTCCCGCGAGGGGCTCTTTTCATGGGAAGGTTCGCGTGCAGGAGTGAGGACAAAGGCAGGCAGGAAGCTGGCTCTGGAATGCCACGCTGGCGACCAGGGGCAGGGCTTCCAGCAAACCCGCGGGGGCAGGGCCGCATGACCAGGGGGCATGGCTTCCAGCAAACCGGCCGGCTGGCCACACAGGGTCCCCCAACGGAGCCTGAGCTGCGAGGGGGCAGCTCTTCAGGGCGCAAACATCAATGAAATTTGAAGATAATCATTAAGCAAAAGAGCTCTGCCCCATGGATGCTTCTTTCTTATGATGTATTTCAATTTTTATAATGTCCCTTTTAAGTGAAAAATCAGAAAAGGGGAGTGAACCTCTCAAGTTTAAGATGTGTGAATGTATTATCTGAAAATACTGATTACAGAGGAAGGTTTTTATGTTTTAACAAACTCACTCCTTTCAATCATAACCCACAGCAACAACTGGATTAGTTTCCTATATTTCTAAGTAGCTCTATGCCCAGCACATAGTAGGAGCTTGATAAATGTCCGTTAAAAATGAGTACTTTAAATGTATGCTTCTAGCTCCTTTATGTGATAAAATAGCAATTCTATTTACAATAAAATCATAAAGACTATTTTAATCATGCTTCACCTAATAAATGGCTAAAGAATCAGGTGATTTCAGAATAAATGACCTTGTAGATTCTTATTACAGTTGTATCTTGTTAACAGAGCCATTTCTCAGAAACCAAAAAGTTACAACTTTTGCTAATCAAGAAAGTCAATTCAAGAGTAGTAGGGGAGGGTATACAATCTTTTTCAACCAAAAATAGAACTACCGACTAAGAAATGGATAAAAAATTTCAGTTTCTATACAGAGTACAATGTTTTACTTAAGAGGAAAAAAAATCAAACAAATAAGTAAGTTTTCAAATGCTCACTCTGGTCCAATTCCGGTTCCAGAATCGGATCCCTGGAACCGCAGTGTGGTGTTTACTCTGAGAAGCAGGACTCCTGGTATTGATTTTCAGGAAGTACATTAATAAAGAACTCCTAATTGATTTTTTAAGACTTTGCTTGTTGCCTTTTATTTGAAGGTGCAAAGAAGGGCCTGGGATGCTAAAGTGTTCTAATGAGATGCTTAGCTAACAGAGGCACCTTAAATGGAGCGTCTTGGGGTGGGGGGGCGGTAGCTGCATTTAACGACTTCATTCAAGAGTTCAGCTAGTTTGTGGCCAGAGCCATGCTGTCTCCTCAAAGTTTTTGAACACTCCCCTTCAAAACACGTTTGCACTAAATACACATTGGAAGATGTGCCAACTCCCTGGGATTGTTTTACCAAAGAGAGTGGAATGAAATGAAAACACACCAGCCGCATGCGCCACCGTCCTGCTGAAAACCGAACCAAACCAAAACCTGACCAGTCAAACGGACGGGCTACATACCTGTCCGAAGTGGACTGTGATTGGCCTGCGGTCTTCTCGGAGCCTGGGGTCCTTGGCCTCCACCAGCGGGGATGGCACAGTCTTTGGTAGCTGTTCGTCCAAGGTGGGAGCACAGCCATTCTCGGTGATGTCCTGCAGGGAGAAGCCAGCCAGGGGTTGGTGCCGGGTCTTGGCACCTGCCATGAGCACAGGTGCTCCCTCCAACCCCAAGGCTAAGAGCCAGGCCACAGAACTCCCTCTGGGACATTTAGAGCCCATCCTCCTAGAGATGAAGGAGCTGGGAGGCCAACGTGGCTGTTTGACCTTTAAGGAGGTCAAACCTAAACCAATCATCCTAAATTACAAAGGCAACATAATAATTCACAATACTTGGGGGGAAAATCCCTTTCATGCCACTGCTTTACAGGCCTATTTTCATTTTTACATACTCACTTTGCCCACATGCAGACACTTAAATTTCTTGCAATCACAGCTCGTGCATAACTTTACATTCTATTTTTTCCTACTATCTTATAAGCATCTCCATGGTGTTGCATAGTCATTACAACGATAATTTCAATGGGTGCATAATATTTCACTGAAAGGCTATATGATAATTTAATGAATCATTCTACCACTATCAAGCATTTAGGTTGTTACTTTCCCCCTAAACACCACAGTGATAAACACTGCAGCTTTTCTTTCTTCTGGATTATTTCTTTAACGGAAATCCTTAGGAATGAAATGACTAGGTCAGAAGATATAACCATTTTTAAGGCTTTTTATTCATTCTACCAATTTGCTTTCCAATTTACACCACTACCAGCCATGGATACGTTGTTTCACAGTACTCGTTAGCCTCATAGGTTTAAAAGTGTATCGCTAATTTAAGAGGTGAAAGGCGAGACCTCATTGTCGTTTAATTTGCAGTACTCTGATTATCTGAGAGTGTGGACACTTCTCGGTCTGTTTACTGGTGATGTTACTGTTTGTGAAAACCATGTGCCCTACTCCCTCTGTCTTAGCCCTAATCTTTCTGGCAGAGAATGAAGAGGCTGAAGTCTGAGTTAGGATTCTATGACTTGGAGAAAATTTAGGATGCCAAAGGAATATTTTTAAATTCAGAAATTTACATTTAATTTGTGCTTCTGATGAATTAAGTCAAATTATACGGAAAGGAAAAGCCCCAATGTGCAAAACGCAGGTGATGGCTCCCCTGGCTAAGGCTCGCAGCTGACTGTGCACAGGGTTCTTTGGGACGTGTGGGTGCTGCCCACTTGTGCAATGAGGACCACACAGCTCATTCAAGTCACGGAACTGCTTAAATCTTCGCTGACACAAGGCAGAGAATAAATAAATAAAATACATTTAAATCGTTCCTTTCATCAAGTTAAAATAACTCACAGAAATAATAAATGCAATTTCCAATTCTTTTAGTTGCAAAACAAATACACATTTTGGTTAACAAAACACACGCCTTTAGTGCTCATTAAGTTCCACATATAAGGACTTAGCCATTGGGTGCCCTTAACTTCTCCGCCAAATAGAGAGTATGGCACGTGGAGGAAAGTGGCCCCTTACTGAATAATAATGCATTAAGGGTGAAACATGTAACATCTGTGAGCCTCAGTCTCCTCTTCTGTAAAATGGGAATATGGTAGCTATGAGGAGTAAAGCATAATATAACATAAAAGTGTCCACAGCATTAATAAGACTCTATACGGTACTCAACAAACTACAGGAATTTCTGTGTGTGTGTGTAAAGTCAACCCCACACTCCCAGCTGCAGCCTCTACAGTGCCTGGTGACATCACGGGGTGAGCACCTCCGGGTTTGCAGGCAGGGCTTACTCAGGCGGCGGCCTCAGCCAGGCCCAGGCTCCGTGATGAGAGAGGCCGCCGATGGCCAATTAGAAACGGCTCTTTTGGGAAGGGGCTGCCCTAAAGTGCTCGGGTCAAGTGGAACAAAGAGGAGGAGGGCTCCTTCTGTGCCGGAAAGTAACAAAGGGCAAAAGGGGCATTTTGGATCCAGTGGGGTTACCTAGAGGACAGACACAAGAGGCTGAGTAAAGCCAAACAGTAAAAAAAAAAATAAAGTTTTTTTTTTAAATCCACTTTTTGTTCAGGAAAAATATTGCAAGTGTGTGTGAGTGACTGGCTGAAAAAAAGAAAAGAAATGAAGCAGTTAGGCAGCATGGTAAGAAAATACTGATGGTGAGGAAAACTGTAAGATGATAGCTATTTAAAAAATGTATGTGGCAGTTTTGGGGACAATGTCTTTGTTTAAGCTTATAGGTAAAAACATCGTTTTCTGGTTTTGTTTTTCACCACCTAGTAGCTGTCTGATCTTTCCAATTCACTCAACCTCCCTGCAACCTATTTCTTTATTTTTACAATGGGGAGACCACCTCCTGCTTGGGGAACTTCAAAGCCACTGGGACAATGGGTTAAATGAGATGAGATGTGAGGAAGCTTTGAAAAATGTTACAATACCGTGCAAACTGAACATTAAATCTTTATTCCTGCAAAATGGGAAGCACACCATCTAAAAAGAGCTGCCCTGTGGTGAGCGCCTCCTACTGGCAGGCACTTTTCCAGCCCCTTGATCTTTTCCACAATCACCAAGAGGTAACAGGAGTACCACACTTTTATAGGTGCGAAAACAGGGCTCAGAGAGGGCATCTTCCCCAAGGCCACACAGCTAGAAAGTGGAAGAACCCAAACCTATATGATTTCTGGCATTAAGCCCTATCAACCTTAACAATACCAAGTGAAGGTTTTCTGAGTTCAGGAGGTGCTCAGCAAGTCAGCTGTGATCTCCGTCTGACACTCCTTTTCTTACATGACCCTGTGCTGCCATGCCTGATGAGAGCTGGGCACTTATTTATCTTCTTACCCCTATAGTTCGTGAATTCCTTGGGGCTTGGGTTCTCTGCCTCAGAGCCTTGAATATAGTACATGTTCTCCAATAAATCTTTGCATAGTTGAGTTGCACATTTGGAAGGCAAATGTGTCCAATATACGAATGTGCTTGTGTGTCAAAAAGTAGTGCAGCACATTAATTTTATTTAGTTAGAGGACCCGGAGGTGCGAAAGACTTCTTGCAAAGTCCCAAGGCTTGCCCACCAATTTATTAACGTCTGCACTATTCCTTCCACCTGGGGAAGGACAACTGCTTCCTCCCTGGAGGGCAGTGTGGGAGAAGCCCCAGTCAAGAAGGAAACAGCACCAGTCACATCCTGCTAGCAGAGGTCTTACACATAGTAGGGATCCTATAACTGCCAGCCTTGGTGCCCATGATTAAAGAAACTATGGTCTGAGAGCTCACTGAGAAGCTGCTAGCAGAGGGTATGAGAAGGCAGCCTCAGACCCTTCTGGTGGGAATACAACTTGGCAATTTTATCAAAACCCTAAAAGAGGTGTGTCCTTTGACCCATTCATTTCATTTCTAGGAATTTATCCTGATGAAATAATTAAGAATTCCTGCAAGGTTTTATCTATGAGGATATTTGCCAGAAAATATTGGAACTTAAGTGTCTAACAACGGGATTGATTAAGTAATGTATATATGTACCTCAGATAAAATTTTATGTACTTATTTAAAACAATGACATGTGGAAGAAACAGTCAGTGGTCTGGCAGATGTTTAGGATGTAGTAAGTGAAAATGCAGTTACAAAATGAGATCATTTTCCTGTTTGTCTGACTTGTTGAATTTTCTTCAATCGACATGTTTTTTGTTTACAAACAGAAAAAAGTACTGACCGTCAAAATGTCATTTAAAAAGGAAAACCCAGAAGCTGACAGGAGGGGCAAATCTGTTCCTTCCTGAAGGGTATCACAGAAGGAGACACCAGTCAGAGCTGCAGATCAGAGGCCACATAGGGTGGCACATCTCTCCCAGAGACAGGGACAGCATTTGATAAATCCTTGGACAGAGTCCCTACAAGAAGCCAGCACGCAGGAACCTGGAGGAGAAGGGGGCTCTCAGTGGCCCTGGGCAGGAGCTGGGTGCAGGATGGGCACAGAAAAAGCCGGGGCTATGTCTTCATGAGGCAGAGATGTGGGGAGAGCATTCCCAGCCCAGGGGAGCTGGAAGGCAGAGCTGGTTAAGGGGTCATGGGTGACAGCTGGGCCTCCCAAGAACCTCCTGGTTAAGGAGGTGGAAGGTTTTAACCAGGGGAGTGGCTCGGTCAGAGCTGGGTTCTAGAAAGACTGCTCCAAGGCTGTGTGGATGGCTGAAAGGGAGGTGATCCCATGCCAACTCATTTCCCAGGGCACGTGCACACGGGGGTCTGGGCAGACGGCTGCTCCAGATGTGGGACAAGAGAAACGGGCAGGATGGAAACTCTGGTTTACTGAGTGGCCAGTAAGTGCTGCTGTTTAAACCCATTACCTCTTCTAACTCTTAGAACAATCCAGTAAAAATCTCTATTTCTCTTAGATGAGGAAAAACTAGGTTGACAGAGGTCAAGTAAATTACTCAAGGTCACAGAGTTCCTATCTTAGACAGCCAGCACTGAAGCTAGCTCGCCTGCCTCAGAGTCCAAATGCCAGGCCACCGACTGGGGGTCTAAAGAGCCCCGCGGGTGCCTGGCAGGTGTGGCTCAGCGGTTGAGCATTGACCTAGGATCCAGGCGATCGGGGTTCGATTCCCGGTCAGGGCACATGCCCGGGTTGCCGGCTCGATCCCCAGACGGGGGCGTGCAGGAGGCAGCCGATCAATGACTCTCTCATCATGGATGCTTCTTTCTCTCTCTTCCTCTCCCTTCCTCTCTCTGAAATCAATAAAATAAATAAAGTCTTAAAAAAAAAAAAAATAGAGCCCCGAGGGTGTGCAGGAGGCCTTCCCGTCCCTGACTCAGACTGCTGGTCTGTTTTGGGATTTGGGCGGTGTCCTTCTTTTCCATTCTACTTCACACCGCAGCAAATGCAAATTAAAATATGAATTCTAAGGTCAAAACAGTATCTGAAGCTGGAATTTCTATGATGGAGGCTGCAGCGTATTTTACTGTCTGTAGGCTGGGAGCTGACAGCTGTGTGTTGGGTGTGAAAATGCCTGTTCTACAAGAATCTACCTAGATCCCCCTGCCCCACGTGTGCTTACTCACGCCCTTCAGTACACCAGGAAACAGCTGGTTGGCCAGAGACTCAAGACTTCGCTAACCCAGGTATGAATCTGCTCCTTTTAAATCACAGAAACTAAATCAACAAGCTTGATGCCTCTTTTAAAGATTGAAGATTTAGAAACTTTAAAAGGGGCTGTGAAATGGGTCTATTTGATGAAATAATTTTGATACAGAAGAAAAAAATGGCATTTTTCAGGAATTCCCCTATAGGCAAAAAAAAAAAAAAAAAAAAAACCCC